GGTCGGTTCGCCCAGATCTCCGACCCCACCGTGGGCGTGGATTTCTTCTCCAGGCTGGTGGAGATCGAGCCTGGCAAGAGGATCAAGCTGCAGATCTGGGACACGGCCGGGCAGGAGCGGTTCCGGTGAGACCCGCGGGGCGGGGCCGGGGGCTGCGGGCCTGGCCCGGCTTGGGCGGGGGGCCCGCAGCCTAGTGAGGCTTGTGGAAATCAGACAAAGAAGAATCAAATTGGCACCTTCTGTGCCACCCGCATCCCCATGCCTGAGATCCGTGTCCACCTCTAATGGCCGCATGCAGTTGTGCAGATGTGCAGGTGTGGATGTCGGGGAGCGGCCCCGCTGCCGCTGGGGAGGGGTACGAGGCGCTGGCTCCGCGTTTTACCAGCCTGGAGGTGGCCGTGCATCCTCTTGCTTCCCCCCGCTGCGGAGGCAGTGACTAGGATGTTTCACAGCCGAACACTTAAGCTGAGGCTCGCGAAATACAGTGGAATATGTGTTTTGGTGCTCTGCTGTCGCAGCAGAGCTCTCTGTAGGACAGAGAAAGGTCGGGACAAACCCTTATCTGTGGTTGTACAGGGGTGACAGGTGCTTTCTGGAGAGTGCCGTGCCGAGCGCTGCGTGGCAGAGACAATTTGGGAGCTTAAGTAACAGTTAACCAAGTCTCGACGAAATAAAATAAAAGCAGCATGTGGGACCCCGCCAAGTTTCCCACAGGACTGTATGGGAAAAACAGCAGCCCTGGTTGGAGCAGGCTTCGTCCCAGCCAAAGAGGGGCTCAGACCTGCTGCTCAGACAGCATGTATTTTGAAGGCATGTGAGTGTACCCGCAGCTCCTGGCCTCCTGTTTGCTTGTATTTTTCACGTCTTTAGCTGTTATCCACTCTTCCATCCTGCTCCCTCTGGGATTGCTTCCTGTGTTCCACATCTCTGCAGCATCATAGAGCTTCTACTTCTGTGCTGTAATGACTTGCCTGAGGAATGTTTTGGTTTCATTCAGTAGATGAAACTCCCCTACCCCCACCCCTCACCACCTTCCCTCGCATCTGTGACACTGGCATCTGGCCCAGGACGTATAGTAGTTGGTCCTTATCCACTGACAGCTTTTTCCTGTGCTACCTTGAAGCCTTGCAGGCAAGGAGCTGGTGCTTTATTCTGCTGTGTGAGGAGCAGTTAGCTTGCAGTTGCATCAGCTTTCAGCTTTGGATCTCTGGCTGAGGTCTACAGAAAACACACCTGAGTGCCATCCCCTGTTCCTGCCATTGCTGTGAAGAGCAAGAGGCTGTCAGATGGCTTCAGTTTCTTTCACACATTAGGAAGTCTGGGGCCCTGGAGGCTGCTTGCCCTTGGTGCTGGGGGCTGACCTGGCCCAGCACTCAGGTTGTCAGCATGATGAGCAGGTGACCTTCAGTGCAAGGGCAGCTGCACTGCTGCAGTGGGCAGCAGCCTGTGAAGGCAGGAAGAGTGCAAGGGGCAGGAATGGTCAGTGACATTAAAAAAAATCCCATTTTGCAACTTTGAAATGCCCTTCCCAAAGCGCAGACTTGAATTCCCAATGTAAAAAGCTGGAGCAAACCCAGGGGCCTTTATTGTGCACTCTGAAATGGATGGGGGGGGGAGAAAAAAAAAAGTAAAATCTGATTTGTGTTTATCCCTTTCAAATCACTCTTAGCCTTGTGACAAATTGTGCCCGATGAAGAAAACTCTTGGGCTCCTCCTACAAAGTAGGTTTCTTGGCCAGAGACAAGAATTAGCTGTTACTGGAATAAGCCAAAGCCCCTTGGACTTGTCATAGGCAAGAAGCACAACGGAGCAGGTGCTCTCCAGAAACCTGAAACTTTTTTTGTCATTTATCAAGCACAGGGAATTTCTTAAGAGGGAAATCTGTAAGAATGAGCTCCCCTTTTTCAGATTTGAGCATTTCCAGTCTGCTTTATATAGTTTAACAGCTTCCCCATGGGGGCAAAACCACTGTAGTTATTTTGAAAACACCTTGGCATTCTCAGAGCAGCAGATGTGTTACAATTTTGCTCTTCCTGAACCCCTGTTGTGAGCTCTTTCACTCTCCATAAATTAGTAGCAATTTCTGTGCAGTCAAGGTTTAAATTACAGTTAAGCATGTGCCACTCTATTTTGCCAGACCAGGCCCAAAAACATGCTGCCTGGGACAGTGTTGAGGCAGCTTTGGAGCTGTAGAACAGGGTCCAATTCTTCCCAGATCCAGCAGGTCTTGCCCATCTCTCATTGCTCAAGTAATGCTATTTCCTTGTCTGAAACATGATGTTGTGTAATGCTAGCAAAAGCCTGTGCAGCCCTTGCTCCCTGGAACCACCACCTACAGAAAAGCTGTTTCCTTCCAGCCAGCAGCTCTCCCTTGGCTGAGAGGGAAATACACGAACAGGAATGGACCTTGGGTGCAGGAGTCCCCACCATGGGTACAGAGCAGGGGACAGAGTTCCCAGACAGAGATGTTGCCTGTATGTTAAAACTTGGTTTAACATAAGTAACATAAAAGTAGGTGCAAGTCTGTGTACTGCTCTGCATCAGTGTGTGGTTGTGGTAAGAGGAGGGAAGGTAGAAATCTCAGAAGGGAATTGGGGAGGGATGTGCAGCATAAAGGCAATATGCTTTGTCTCCTGCAGATCAGTGAGGAAAACAGTTGTGGAAAAGGCTTTAAGAAGAAGCACTGAGACCTTCACCTAATTTTACCTTGAAGCAGCATTCAGCTTAGATCCCATCATGTCTTTTAGAAGTACCTGAGGCATTTTTGTTGCTGGCAGGGGGAGCCAGGGCTGATGGCATGGAACACAAAGGAGAAACAGAAATGTGGTGTGTCAATGTGGGGGTGAATTCAAAGTGCCAATATCTATTTGCAGCTGGCCAGATAGCAAAAGGCAGATCTAATTCCCTCTGTGCCAACGGTGCAGTGACTATTGTCCATAAGCCAAACAGTTGGAGAGGAGAAATTATCCAAACACAGCCAACTATGTTTTTTCCCCTGCTTCTGGCTTTCATCAGTTTTTTTCTGTGAATTTTCACCCATCACTGTATGTTTGTTGATAAAACAATTCTTGAAAACTCTAGTTCATCCTTTCTTGGGGCAATTTTGACAGATACACACATTACAGGACCAAATGGCACCTAACAACAGACTTGCATAGGCAAAAAAAAAGACTCGTCCTAAGCTAAAAATGCAGCAGTGCTTATATTACTCCAGCAAGGAAAGTTCAGGCCTAAGTGTGAATTCCTCCAGGGACTGAAATCGACCATTGCTTCTGGACTTAGAGCAAATCCATGACTTGCAGAAATACCACTGTTCATCAGCTTCTTGGTTTTCCCTTGTGTAGTAGTTACTGAACTGTAGTTCTCAGCTTATCCTCATGGTCTCAGCTTTGCTGCATTGTCCCTGTGTTTGCTTATTTCCTGTGTTGCTTTTGGCTGCCTTGGGCTGGCCTAGCTTGGAAGAGCTTTGGGAGATATACACAGCCTGCAGTTCTGGGGTCTTTTTGGGGACTATCTAATGTTGTCAGTATTTGGCAGGAACATGACCAGTGCCAATTCTTCTTGGAAACTAGTGTAATTTTGCTGTTTCTTGGGAGGTCAGATGGGCTGCTCCTGTCAGTGCCACTGACAGTGTCCTGTCACTGTAATGTCACCGTAATCCGATTCTGCAGTGGAAGAAGCTGTAGGGATGGGTGGATGTCCCTGTCCCAGGGCCCTGGGTATATGGAGGGGAGCTACAAGCCCATGATCAGCCTTCCAGATCTTTGACCTTCTGTTTTTATGTGGCTTTCAGAGAGCAGGTGTTTGGTTTAAATTGAATCCTTTGATTTGCCACAGTGCTTCTAAACCAGTGGGTTAGATGAGGTGTCCAGAGAACTGACATGGTGGGGGGTGGGACTCAACAACCAGGAGCATACAGAAATCCATGAGAGAAAAAAGTGGTGGTGGGAATTTTGAAGAGAGCCATAATAAATCAGTGGGACGGTTACTTAAGTGTAAAATCTTTAAGCCAAAATAAATTTTCCTTTTAAATTACAAGCTCTACAGAGCACAAGCTAGAAGTCCTAAGACATTGCCTGAATGGCCTTCTCTTGCCCTATATTCTGCAAGGTAGACAGTGTTGTGGTAATGCTGCTTTCTTAAAGGATATATATTCACACAGCTGTAATTTAATACTGTTGTGGCTTCTTGGCTTGCAGGTCCATCACCAGAGCCTACTACAGGAACTCGGTTGGAGGACTACTCCTCTTTGACATTACAAACCGCAGGTCTTTCCAGAACGTCCACGAGTGGCTGGAGGAGACAAAGGTGCACGTCCAGCCATACCAGATTGTCTTTGTTCTGGTAGGTCACAAGTGTGACCTTGACACACAGCGGCAAGTGACCAGGCACGAGGCGGAGAAACTGGCTGCTGCCTATGGTATGAAGTACATTGAGACCTCGGCTCGGGATGCCATTAATGTGGAGAAGGCCTTCACTGATCTGACTCGTGATATATATGAGCTGGTGAAAAGGGGGGACATTTCAATCCAGGAGGGATGGGAAGGGGTAAAGAGTGGGTTTGTCCCAAACGTAGTGCACTCTTCAGAAGAAGTGGTGAAATCAGATAGACGGTGCTTGTGCTGAGCTTCTCTAGAGAGGCGAGTGGTGATGAACTCTACTAACCAAACATACTTTACTAAGTGAACTCAGTGTGACAGAAGGGAGAGCAACACTCCCCTTGTGAACAGCCTTCCACATTGTTTTGGACACCAGGACAGACCCTGGAAAGAGATATTCTTTTCCAAATAACCTTTCAGAACTGGGGGATACAAACCCGAAGGAGAGTGAGTGAGGGTGCATGTGGACGTTGTAAGGAGATGAGAAGCAGAAATGAGGGGCTGTACAACACAGAAAAGAGTATACACAGCTGAATGGGCTGGTAAATGCCAGGCTACTGTACATGTTCTCTTTTAAGTAAACCCATAGCTCCCTGCTGGCTTTTGGAGCCACAAAATGGATACTCAGTTGTATGAAAAACAGGCAGACAGAGAAAACAGGAGGACATCTTGGTTTGTGTCAGCTATTTCTTTCCAGGACAGTCTAAAGGCAGCATAGATACCATTTCCTCATAAGGTCAGTTTCACAAGAGAAGTTTACCGACATGGTATGCACACTTCCGAGTTTTCTTTCTTATGTTCTTGAATGTAGTTCGATAGCAAAGAATATTTTGTGGGATTTAAAGAGGAAAACAGTAGTTATTTAACTGGTAATTAAAATTTAAATTATTCATCCCTTAACAGTGTTTTTCTTGCTGTGCTGAACCAAGACTCTGAGTGGCAGCTCTTGCTGTAGTAGGGATTATTCAATGCAATTTTTACTCATTTACTGCCTGGGTGAGTACCCTGGAAGTACCCTAAGTCCAGGGCTTTTCAGTAGAATTAAGTGATGAAGAGCATAAAGAGAGAACCATGTCCTCAGGTGTTATGTCTTAACACTGGGGTGTTGCAGCCAAGTGGGACACACCATTTCTGTTTCAGTAACAGCACTGTGCTGACATTACCAGCCAGGTCACAAGGAGGAATGGAAAGGAGGAAGAGAAAAAAGAAACCAAACGAAATAAAAACTTGAAAAGGTTAACTCAGGTGCATCAGACATCCTAAAAGTTGAGATTTGCTCTTAAAGAAGTTAAATAGCATAGAAAGCAACAGCTTCCATCAGTACTTTCTGCTGTTAAAGTGTCGTTTTCTGTCTTGGCCTCTGTGGAAGAGAACTGGCACTGGGAAGGTAGAACACACAGCAGGAGTGTCTGAGCGGGTGGAAAGCTTCAAGACACACTCAAGAGTAAAATTTGTTTTCCTCCATGTTTTAGTTTGACAAAAGAGGATCCATCTCAGATTTGCCATCTCAGACAGCCATGTCACAAAAACTGTATGTAGGTGGATGTTTTCTGGGAATGCCATTCACCACTTAAAAGCTTTGCTTCTGCCAAATTTTAACCCAAGCTTTTGAAGTGCAGTGGGGTGACTGTGCTCCTGTAGCAAATTAGGGAAGTTCAGCCTATTGAAAGTGAACAAACAAAATGATAGTGACTTTTTTACTTGTGTTTGAAAGCTTTATACACCAAACTGCAGTAGGAAGAAGGGAGGCTTTAGGTAAAAGCCACAGGAAGCATCTAGTGTTTATTTTAGACCTGTGAGTAGAGAAAAATAAAATTGTTCCAGCTTTTTAATCTGTCCCATCTACAGAAATACAGATCTTGATGCTATTGAGTTCAGACTGTTTCACCTTCTGAACCTGTTTGCAGTTTGCAGCAGCACATGGGTAGGTCTGTTTTAAGAGAAAACCTGTGGTTGCCATATTGAAACTGTAAAAAAACCCCAAACCTCCAGCAAACCTAACCTAACAACCCCAAACCCTGAACACTTTTGTTTCTTGGTGTTCTAGGAACAATTTCACTTCTTGATGTTGGCAGGGGAGCAGCAGCGCTGTACCTGCTGGGAGGGCATAGGGAGCAAATGCCACCAAGGGGGGTGGCAGTGACCTGGTGCTTCTTGGTGAGCTTAAATAGGCTTGAATGTATCCAACACCTCATGCTAAAGGCCAGTGAATGCCAGGCACTTGGGGTTGCGTTGAGTGCCCTGAAAGTAAAATAAATAAATAAACTAAAAAATAAAAAAAAAGAAGAAAAAAGAGTGCCCTTTACAAAATCTGTTTTTGGCTGAGCAAAGGTGGATGCAGGGAGCACCCCAGGAACTGGGCAGATGTCAGGGCAGAGTGTGGGATTTGGGCAGATGTCAGGGCAGAGTGTGGGATTTGCTCCGACCAGCTCAGTCAGTTGCATTTCACAAAGGCAGGGACAGACAGTACCACAGGGTCAGTTTCTGTTCCCTGAATGGAAAGTCCACCAAGTCCACCAAGGAAAGTCCAAGGAACTTCAGCTTTTCAGGGGCCAGCTGGACACTAGGTGTGTCTGACTTCAGCTTTTCAGGGGCCAGCTGGACACTAGGTGTGTCTGGGGGTGTCTGTCTGAGGATAGCAGCAGCCCCAAGGGCAGAGCCAGAGTGTGACATGAGGGGCCATGAGGAGTTGGATCAGACATCTTAGCAATAGTCACATTCTATAATTCCCCTGTGCGAAAGCCTGGCCAGAGAGGAAAGATCACTTCATGAGACAGACAATATTTTATTTAATGTGTTTTGGACATTCCCCTTTACTGCTCCCAGGGAGAAATTCCAGAAAGCCTAAGCCAGTAAGTGCATTCAGGCCTTCAGAGTGAATCTTCAATTTAAATACAGAACTGTTGTAATTCTGAAGAACATTACAGAAGAAAATGTACACAGTCTTAACTACTTAGAGTTAATAAATTGTTATATTAAATGATAGAGAAATCATTATCTACATCTTTTTCTAATTCCTTGCATTTTCTAGACAGCTTATTAAAATACAGGAAATGTAGATTCATCTGTACAAAATTTGGAATGATTTTTCTAAGATTAAATACTTATTGGATAAGCTAAGAATTCTTTTCTAACAACTGGTTTTAATGCTTTGACTTAGAGGGACTTTGAGAAATCAGGTGATACCTTTCATAGGCTAAAGGTCAGGAGCTCTTATACTCTAGGACAAAAAGAGAAAAAAAAAGCAAAAGCTAACTTTCTGTGGTCTCTACCACACGTTAAAAACAATCTGCATGTTAGACTGAACTTGCTCAGAACCTCCAGAATAAAAGCATACTTTACACTGTCCTTGCTTTGTTATGCACTGTAATGAAATGTGAAAATAATGCTGTATTTAGCTGCCTGTATGTGACTGAAAATATGCTTGTATTTAGCAAAATGGTTACTACGTGATAATGTGAAATTCAAAACTTGTAAAGAAACTTTGGTGGGTTTTTTTTCCCCTTTCCTCCTACCCATTCTCTCTTAGTATGTTTCCCTGCTCCCTATCTCTGCAGATCCACCATTCCCAGGCACTGCCTCACAGCCACTGGACACTCTTCCCTGTAGGGCCTGCCTCACTTTGCACCTGTCCTCTGCCTTGCTGAGAAAAAACAGACAAACTGCTCTGAGACAAAACCACCCCCTGCTTCCAGCAGTTGCAGCCACTGCAGCCTTGGCCCCTCCTGGAGGCCTCTGCAGGTCTGGTGGTATGGCAGCTACAACAACAAAGGGCAGAGCAGACCTAGGCAAGGGTTAGTCATTGAGCTCACTTTTGGGGGTTTTTATTTACCTCAGATCAAACACATAAACACCAAATCCTGAGTAATGATGGCCACAGCCATCTCCCATCCCCCAGGAACCAGACACAGGAGCCATTTCAACTCCAAGGCTGTCACCCTGTCCCCTCTAACATGCAGCAGCAGGTTCCTGGCAGTGGCATAGTGTTGATTTTGTTTGGCTCTGCTTCTGCTGTGCAAAAATGCTTAACTGGTCGTTTCATTTTGCACAACAAAGGCAGGCAATTGCTGCCTTAGGACCAGCCTGGGGTGGGGGCGTGGGAGCGCAGCCTGTTAGGATTGCATTAATCCAAATCGAAGAAAAAACTATAAGAGAAATCAGGCTCTGTTTGCAGCTGTCTTTCCATCATTGCTGATGCTAGAAAAAGAAAATGGAAAGCAGCAGCCTACAGCCTGACCAGTGCCACATTCTGCTGCTGTAGCAGATACCTGTTTGAGAATACAGTAGAGCTCCATGTTCCTCTGCTGCAGCCACAGACACTGAAACAAACAGTATTGCTGTGGGGAAGGGATGAGCCCAGGCAGTTACTGGCGATCAGTGCTAAGGGTTTACCTTCTCTCTGCCCTTCCCTGCAGCTCACTTTCTGACAGGCACAGTGCTGGTAAATCACTTGCTTTCAGTCACCAATTCAGATGTGCTGACTCATTCCCCCTTTCATTTATGCCAGGATCCATCAGCCACACTTTTCATGTCTGCTGCTTCCATGGAATTGAATTTTTCACCCCTAACAAGCCTAGTTAAGGGAGGGAAACATTACAGAAGGTCACACATCACATTCATGACTTTCACACAAAGAAAGATGCACAAAACCAGCTGTTTGCCACAACTGTTTAGTTTTACTATTTTAATATCATGAAATAAAAGTACAAAAAATTTACAGGTATATTGTTTCTTACATGAAGATTGAACAGTTAACATTTGCATTTATTTTGCAGTGAAACCTGTACTCTCAGTCACAGAATGTGATTATTAGCCACTGACATCACCACTGAGCATTTCATTTTAGAAAGAAACTGCAAAGGTAAGAGGCAACAATCTCGCAAGGCTTTGTAAGGACTAAAAAAACACTCCAACTGTACCATCAGAGGTCATGTTCCAGTCAACCATCCTGATCTAACACAGATTTTACCACCTGGGAGGCTGTGTTCAGACATTTGAATTGGACATCTTGGCCAAGGGGGTGGCAATGGGAGGCTCTCGCAAGCTGTGGGCTCTTGGGTCCTTGTTCAACACATTTGCCTAAACAACCAACATGTACACACTTATGAAAAAGAAGGGGTGAGACCTGCAGGCTTGATATCCCCTGTGCTGCTCACTCCTTGCCCACTGTGCTCTCTGAGGACAAATCACAAACTGCTGCATTTAAAGTGTTGAGAGCTCAGTAACAGAGTTAGGTAACCCAGAGTTACTACAAGTTTATCCAAAACAGACATCCAAGAATGCCTACACACTGGTGCTGCCATTAACTGACTAAAACAAACCCCAAGATTCCACTCTAATTTTGTTGTTTCCTGGAACACTACAGCTGGACATCTTCCCAGCCCAAGTCAAAGTTAACTTCATCAGCTTCAGTATAAAGATGAAGAAGAAAAACCCTGCATTGCCTTAGCCTGTGAACATGGCTCCATTTCATACATCTCCTTCAGCTTCTCAGACAGGCTTTCAGGCAGAAATTTATTTATGATGGACTGATCAAAATACTACATCCTTTGTTGGACTGTGTGGTGCCTTTTCAAATAATTCATTTCATGAAGCATGCATGAAACCAAATTTTGAGTTTACAGATAAATAAAATGGTGCTCACCATTAGTTTTTATATATTTTACCAGTTACTGAAATGCTGAAAGTAACTCAGTCCTGAATGAAGTTTGGGGGTGCTTAAATAAAAAATAATTGGAAATTGAAACCACATTTAAAATTGGAAAAACCTATGCTTTGTTTTTGGAAGGGTCTTGCTTGTTTCTTCTCTTTACATCCCAGTTATAAACTCTAGCCATATCTGAAGGTGTGGAATTAAGGAAATGGCTCAGGCTATCAGAAAAGAGAAAAAAAAAAAGGATTTTTAAAAAAGGAGAAAAAGCAGGTTACAGAGTTGGCCGCTTAGAACAGTCAGTATAGGAACCATTTCATGAAAGGGCTGACTTGGTGCAAAGCTTCAGCTCTCAGGAACGCTGTAACTGTTGGTAACTTCAGTATTTATATAATTAAAAAACCAAATAGGTTACTTAAAAATACCAAAAAGGTATTGCAGAGAAACAATTTTTATTTTGCCTAACTCTGCTGATTTCAGTCAAGCTGCCCACATCAGTTGTATTTGCCTCTTTCAGGCATCCCAAACTCCTGCAGCACTAAGCTCAAGTGTCAACTTGAAAGAACAAGCAGTTGTGCCTTCATTAAACTAAATCTAATGCTTCAGTTAATTGCTACACTCATTAAAATAGATTTTAACTAGAAAGTGTAAAAAATAACACCCCCCCCAGGAGATGGCTCATGACAGTACAAAGACATTTAAAAAACATTGAGCACACCCCAACCCACTCCCAGGCTTGCTGCAGCAGGGCTGCTTCTGCTTCTTCTGCTGCTTGGAGGCAGCTGCAAAGGGTGTGACGGGCAACAAAGTACAATATTCATATACTCTAGAGAAAGGGTCACTGCTTTAAGGTGGTCACTTGGGCATCAATCCACACTTCAACTCACTCCAGAGTCAGTCTGGGTTGCAACCACTGCTGTAGATTTCATGAGGACACAAATACAAGTTTTGTTACCTCTCATACACCAACTTCCAACTCAGCCCTGTAAATACAACAGTCCATTTCATTGCTAGGACAGTAAAGTTCACAGGTGCTACAGAATTTTGAGGGTAGCCAGTCTAAGTTATAAACACATCAGAAAGTTGATTGTTACCTGGATGTTGGCTTTCACATTCATCTCCTCCCTCACATTAATCAAAAGGATACTGACTTCTGTAGTGGTGAACTGATCTCTGAGAAAATCCAGGTCTTCCTCTAGAAGATCGAGATTTTTCGTGGCTGTTGACAAATTCTTCTCTAACAGAGCCTGAGCTTCATCAATATCATATTCAAGCATCACATTGGCCTAGAAAAGGAAGATTGATAAAAGCTCTTACTCTTGCATTGTAACGGCTAAGCCACACCAAGCATATTTTAGGCTGTTGTTTGTAACTAATCACGTTAGCAACAGACTGTCCTGACAGGCAAAGACAAGATGCAGGACAGACAATGTCTGAATCCACTTGAGGCCTCCACCCCTTCAGTAACTGAGTAATAAATCTCCCTAGTGACTTCAAGAAGTTCTCTTCCTATAGCTAAGCAAGGAGGGATTTCTTCCCCAGTGGATCAGATTCAGGTATTAGTATCTCATCCTCACTGTATTTGGAAAGTGAGAGACCTCACATTTCTTAGCAGCTCCTTTCAGGAGCCACACAATTCTAGGAACAGTTTTTATTGGATTCAAGATAAACCTCAGGCTCTGTGTGAGACACTAACAAACAGCTGGCACTGTCAGTAACAAAAGCTATTACAGGTATTAAAGATACAACAGGTGTAAAAGTCCTCTCTGATGCTGTGGTGGTGGTTTTTAATCCACACATGGTTGTTTCAGTAAGAAGCTACCACAGGACAAGATAGAAAAGCAGTATCAGGTGAAAATGCATCAATGAAGCTTTGTCCTATTCAAGAACTATGCCCTGAATAGAGCCATAGCCTGTGACTGACAGAATCCCATGGAAGGCTACACTGAGCTGCCAGTTGGATAAGCTGTTCTTTAAAGCAAGAGGAGGGCAGAGTCTCCAGTAACAGTGACATGCACAGCCCAACACAGACTGTAGGCAACAAGCAAAAGAAAGGCAGAAGGCCAAGAACACCTAAATAAAATTAGTTGTGCATGGCATTTCATTATAGCTTTTCAGTGCGAACCGTCAATAAGATGAACCTTCTCTGATGTTCTGTCAGAAAACAAACCTGGGATGCTCCATTAAAGTCAGTGTTCATGAATTCCAAAGACAGTCTCCTAATAGCAACAGGTATCAGAATTTTTATGATTGAAGTGGGAAAGGTTGGGAGCAACTGTCCAATAAGTTTGGATGGTTCATGTGTCAACAGTGTTTCTGTCCTAACCAAGATGTTTTGTTTGGCAGTCAACACTGGGATTTAGGAACATCCATGATTTGAAAGTCTCAAAATAAGCTTCAGCAGGTTAATCTCCACATAAAATAAAGCCTCTAAAAACAAAATATTCCAACCTCATATTGCTTAAATACTTGGGAATCTGGGCTGTGAATGCTGATCCCACCAGGCTTTAGTGCGAAGTCCACTCTAAATGCTGGCAGATACCTGTGAACATCAGATATCCCACCTTTCCCTAAGGAGGTGCATGAAAAGGGAAAGCAAGATGCTGAATACAAATAACATAGAGAAGATGGGAAGCTACTTGCTAAACTAAGTTATTTTGCTAGGCACATTCTTATGCCAGGCAAGGATGGATGTTAATCTGAACCAAAAAGTGACAGAAATGGTAAGAGAAACACAAACAAGGTTTTTGGAAAGAACAATCCAGCAAAAAGACAATTTTCTGAAGTCTTACTGTTCAGGAATCAAAAAAAAAAAAATGGAACAAAAAGTCA